TCTCTCTCTCTCTCTCTCTCTCTCTCTCCCTTCAAACCTTCTGAGCGAGCTCGTCCAGACGAGGTGCGCACGTCTCCCGTCTTTGTAGGCCGCTGACCTCTCTGCCATGTGGTATTTTTGTTCGTCAGCCTTTGTTTTTTGCTGATTTTTTGTAACTTTGACCTGGTGGGACCGGTTGTCCTGTTTTCGTTCTTTTTTTATTTTAATTAGAGCTTTAACCGTTAGTTCGTTACTAGCAGAGGCTTCGACGGCCCTGTATAGCGTTGGCCCTCTGCTGTAACGTTCGGCTCACCAGGTCCAACTTTCTGTTCATACTTTGTTTTTGTTTTTCTCTTAGAGTTTTTTTTTTGGACACGGGGAACTGGGGAAAAATCTGACTCTCTGTTTTTTGTCTCTTTGCAGAAAAAACAAAACAACTGATCCAAAAAGAAGTTCCAGAGATTAAGAATAAAATAATTCGTTTGAACCTCATGTTTGTCTTGTGTCCTCAAATATGTTGTGGCTCGGTTGGTCGTAACATGGTAAATATCTCAGTCATCCAGGGTATAGTCGTTCCAAAGAAGTTGAGAAATAATGCACTGGACTTTTTTTCCAAGTTTGAAGACGTTTCTCTTCCTATACAGGAAGTTTTTTTTCAATAAAAAATGTCAGAAATAGCGAAGCTTTATAGACCAAAACAAAAGCCTTGTTTTTGCTTAGAAAACATGCAAACTGAACTGGAAGAACTGGGTTCTTTGTTAGCCAATATTCACATTTTGGACAAAGAAGGTTTGATGGAGGTGTGAAGGAAGCTAATCTATGTTAAAAAAAAAAGGAAAACCAACCTTAAACAGAGGGAGGGACTCAGGTTTTAGCTTTCAAAAACCTATGATACAGCGATTGAGTTGATTCGACCTCCCCCCAAAAAATCATCACAACCCCCAACCCCATACACGAGAACAGAAGACCTCGCCTGGTCAGCATGGCCATAATTCCCTCTAAAGACCCCCCTTTCAGAGACATAGACAGGTATGGGGCATTGCAGGCTAACAAAGAAGCC